GGCATACTTGGGGAATTGCTGTGGTTTTCCAAGGATGTTGAACCGAAGCAAAATGTTGACTGAACTCTAATTCCCATCCCCTTCTCTCTTCTCAGGTCTCTGGCCATACAAGTGTCTGGCCGGAGCCCCCCAGGGGGACCCGAACCCCAGGACAGAGGTCCAGATGGCCTGCCTCTCCTTGGGGACAGCTGGTCCGAGACGGTGGTGCGGAGGGTGCTCTCTGGGCCTGGGTCTGCGTCTGCCAGGGTGGAACCAAGAGAGGTGAGCCCCCCCCCCGCCTCCTGTGGGCTGGGGGAGGAGTTAGTGCTTTCACCAGGGCTGGATGCCTTCTGACTGACTGGTGGATCTAGGTCACTGGGCCTAGATTGGCTAGGGATTGGCTACAGAGGAGGCAGGCTCACTGGTACCCGGCTGGTTGCCCCGCCTCACCCAGCATTAAGTGAAATCTGATTGGACAAGGACTGGGAGGTGGGGCAGAATGACAGCCCACCTGCTTTTAAAGGTGGGAAGGACCTGGCTGAACCTGCTGGGTGGAGAGACCTGTTGAAGGTAGCAGAGCCCGCTGCCTTCCGAGGTGGAGGCGTCTGAATTGTGGAACATGGCTGGTCGCACACTCAGTCTTCCTCCAGTTCCAGGGCTGTCCTGCCTTTGGAAGCTGACTTTTCTCCCTCCCTGCCTGCGCTTTCTCCCAGCCAAGGGCAGAGGCTGCTGGCCTGGAGCGGGCAGGCCTGGAGGGCGAGGCCCAGCGGAGGACCTTGACCTGGAACCAGGTGTCCACACTCCCCTTCCTGATGGATTCTAAGGGTGAGTCTGGCCCGGGGGCAGGGGGAGTGGTGGCTGGGGACGCACCAGGCCTACAGGGTCGGAGCCAAGGGCCCAAGAGAGGGCTCATCCAGCCCCCGGGGATGGCGCAACTGAGGCCCGAGCAGGAGACCGTCCGCCTCCTGACGCTTGGCGGAGCCCTGCCTGCCCCTGTCGCTGCCTCGTGCTGGCTGTCTGTCCTTGTGCCCTTCCTCTGTCCTCAGCGAGCAGAGGCGAAAGGAGCACTGGACAGGAGCCCAGACCCCTGGGTTTGAGTCCTAGTTCTGTCCCGAGTGGGCTTGGCGGCCTTGGGCAGGTCCTGCTCTCTCTGGGCCTCGGACTCTCACTTTAAGGGGAGGAAAGGGGTCCTGGTAGCTTGGGCTTTGAGAGGGTCACATCCGATGCCTGACTTCATCCTCCTCTTGTCCTCCCTGCTGCCCCCTGCCCTGTCCGTGCCCAGCTTGCCAGTCCTTCCACGAGGCCCTAGAAGCCTGGGTGAAGGGGCTGGGCACTGAGCCCTTCTACATTCGAGCCAACCTCACTCTGCCCGAGCGGGCAGACCCCCACGCCCTGTGTGTGAAAGCCCAGGAGATCCTGCGGCTGGTGGACCCGGTGTACAAGCGGCGGCAGGAGTGGTTCTGTGCACGGGTCGACCCCCTCACGCTGCGGGACCTGGATCGGGGCACAGTGCCCAATTATCAGAGGTGACCCAGAGCCAGGAGCCTGGGGACGGGGTCCCATTGGGAGCTGGGACTGGGGTGGGGGCCTCTTTCTCCCTTTGCAGCCCCTCACTATCCTCTGGAACAGGACGGGGGGCTAGAGGAGAGGCTGTGAGGGGTTCTCTGTCGCCATACTAACATATGACAAGACTCCCCCCTGTCCCCCCAGAGCCCAGCAGCTCCTGGAAGCTCAGGAGAAATGCCTTCCCTCCAGTCGACCCCGAGGGCCCCGCAGTAACGTAAGCAGGGCTGCACCAGCTGGGTGAGGGGCGGGGGAGAGGGGTTTCGAGGGGCGGGTCCAGAAGGGAGAGGCCGGGCTTCATTCTCTGGGGGAGGAGAGGAGGGAGGCTCCCCCCTCGCTCCCTCATCCGCACTTGGTTGACGTCTGTGTGCCAGCAAGTGGAACAGCAGGACTCACGCCCAGGGTAGTTGAGAGATTAAATGAGATAGAGTGTGCCTCGTGCTCACACGGAAAGCACTTGACAAAACAACAGTCCTATCCCCTGTTCCAGCCCCTGGAGAAGGACTGGGCCGTGTGATCCTCCCCTGTACACCTGGGCAGAATGAGTTGCCGTAGTAACGCGAGAGGCTGTGGCACTAGAGGGGGTTGAGAGCGCAGGCTCTGGAGCCAGACTGGCTGGATTGGAATCCCAGCTCTGCCACTTAATCAGCCATGCAACCTTGGACAACCACCTGACCCTCCCTGGAGGCTGTGTCCTCGGCTGTAAAATGAGGGGCTACACTGCCTGCTTGGCCCCTCGGCATAGAAGGCGTTAGTGGTTCATGCACATCCGTGGCCTAGTTAGTATTTGTCACATTGTAGGCTTTTGATGCCTGTCAGCTGTTGGTATGATAAATGCTGTTGTTGGTTTCATTAATCTTCCTCCCCAAGGCCATATTGCTAGTTCATTGGGAGAGACCCCAAAGTTTCTCTCTTGTGACATTAGGTTCCTATAGTCTCTGGGCCTCAGTTTGTCCATCTGTAAAATGGGGGTGGGTACACCTCGCTTCTTGGGTCTTTGCCTCCCTGGGCAGGGACAGGAGACGTGGTGGCATGGGCCCCCCTCTGCCTGGGGTTTCATGTACTCTCCCCTCTCCCCAAGGGTGGAATAAGGCAGAGTTCACAGGAGCTCTGGACCAGCTGCGGCTGGTGAAGCCCAAGCATGCCGGGAGTCCTGCAGGGGACTCCCCGGAACAGCTGCTGCTGGAGCCCTGCTCAGGTGAGGGTACAGGTGCCTATGGAGTCCAGGAGTGCACCTCTGGGTGTCCTTTGGCCTGGGAGGGCCTGTTGTGAGGGTTCCAGTGGGCGGGACCTGAGAGACAAGGCTCCCTTGGTGGGAGATGGGCCTCCAGGTTTGAGAGAGCCAGTTGGTGCAGGAGGCGCATGTGTCCTAGTGTGTTCGTGGTCTGTATGAGTGTGGGGCACGCGTGAGCTCGGGCCTGTTCTCGTCTGGCAGAGCAGGTGTAGCTGTGCCACGCGGACCCCAGAATAGGTTCCTGGAGGCAGTAGGGTGAGGCTTTGGGCCAGATCAGGGGGAAGGGGCTGGGAGAGCCCACATGGGAGAATAGCAATTCTGAGGGGCAAGGAGACGAGGATGGTGAGGAAGACGTGCAGGAAGGGAGATTGTTTAAACCGAGTCCTTCAAGGAGGAAGAGGAGTTTGTTCCAGGCAGAAGGCACAGCTTGTCCTGGCCCGTGTGGCTCAGTTGGTTGAGGGTCATCCCTGGCACCAAAGGGTCATCGGTTTGATTCCTGGTCAGGGCACATGCCCAGGTTTCGGGTTTGGTCCTAGTTGGGGTGTGTAAGGGAGCAATTGATCGGTGTCGCTCTCTCTCCCCCTTTCTCTAAGAAATCAACAAAAAACATGTAAGGAAAAGAAGGCACAGCCCGTGCAAAGGCCCGGGGGCATGGCTGTGCACGGTGTGTTTGGCGGACATGGGTATCAAGTGTCAGAACTGTCATTCTTGGTCCACAGGACACAGTGGTCCCCCACCCCTTTGAAGCTTACTGCCTGTTGGGGATGGGGAGAGGCAGATACCTGTCGGCCACATCATCTCATTCATGGACATGATTGCAAAGTGTGACACTTGTCATGGAGGAGAACTGGATGCCAGGGTGGGCCCTGTGACAGGAGGCAGCTGAAGGGCGGTCTGGGTGTGCGTAGTAGGAGGGGAATCTGTGATGGGGTGCAAGGCTTGCTGCTCCCAGGCTCTGGCGGGACCGGGTCACCCACAAGGAGGATGTGGTCTTTTCCCTAAGAGTCATGGGAAGTTGACACATTGAAAAAATGAGAGTTAGAAGATCTGACTTTAGTTTTAAAACCTCTCTCTGGCCTGGCCAGTGTTTGAGCATCAGTGATTGAGCATCGACCTGTGAACCAGGAGATCATAGTTGGATTCCCAGTCAGGGCTGTGGGCTAGATCCTCAGTAGGGGGTATGCAGCCGATCCATGATTCTCTTTCATCATTGATGTTTCTCTCCTTTTCTCTTCCTCTTTTGAAATTAATAAAAATATATTTAAAAATAAAACCTCTCTCTGGCTGCTGAGAGGACAATGGCCTCTAGGGGGCAAGAGGGAGGCAGAGATTAGGGAGGAGTCTACTGCAGAAGTCCCAGGGAGGACTGGGCAGCTGTGTGTGTGTGTGTGTGTGTGTGTGTGTGTGTAGAGGGGAGAGGGCAGAAGGTGGGGGGCATCTGCAGGACTTAAGAAGGGAGAAAAAGATGGGGGGCGTGAGAGGAGGTGGTGGGGTTTTGAATGTTGAGGGGGCTGGCGCCCTGGAAAAGAGGAGCTGGGGCCCTGCCTGCACCCTCATCTCCTCTGCACCCGCCCCTGCCACAGATCCGGAGTGGAGCCTCAAACCCTACAGCCTGGTGCGGCCGCTGCTGGTGCCCTCCCTGCGGCCCGTGGTGCTCTTGCCCGAGTGCCTGGCGCCTCGGCTCATCCGCAACCTGCTAGACCTGCCCAACTCCCGGCTGGACTTCCAAGTGTGCCCAGCGGGTGAGCCTTTGCGCCCGGAGAGGGGAGGGCAGGGTGGCACTCTGGGGCAGCCAGGCCCACTGGCCGTTGGTTCTGGCTTCTTCCTGCTCTCCAGAAAGCCTGTCTGGGGAGGAACAGTGCGCACCCTCAGCTCCCGGAGCCCCCAAGGCCCGGCCTGCCACCCCTGGGCTGGGCAGCAGGATTCGTGCCATCCAGGAGTCTGTTGGGAAGGTAGGTGCTGGGGCGGGGGCTGCTCTGGGCAGTCCCTTCCATTCTGTGGGCCTTTCCTCACCTGTGAATGGCTGGTACATCTCACCTCTCTGCCTCCGTGTCCGCAAACTCTCCACTGCCCTGGCAGCGGCTGGGACAGTGGGGGTGGGGCTGGCATTAGCTTGATCCTATAGATGTGCAGGCTGAGGTGCGGAGAGGCAAAGTGACTGATTTCCCCAGGTCTCCTGCCTGCCCTCCCGTTGTTCCCTCACTGCCAAGGTCCCTGTGGATGGGGAAGCAGGACCCTGTGGGGCGGTGCTGCGGAGCCCAGTGCTGGCGGGGGTATGTGGGGTAGGGACGTTAGTGTCTCTGGGCCGGAGTAAAATGTAACCTTGACCCCCGAGAAGAAGCACTGCCTGTTGGAGCTGGGCACGCGGGGCGTGCGGGAGCTGGTCCAGAATGAGATCTACCCCATCGTCATCCATGTGGAGGTGACCGAGAAGAATGTCCGGGAAGTCAGGTGAGGCCGGACCCGAACCTCCTTTCTGTTGGGGCGGGGGGGGGTCTGTCTCTGTCTGGCTCTCTCTCCCTCTGTGTCTTCTCCCTCCTTCTTTGCCATCTGTCTTTCTGTCTTCATCTGTTTGTCCTTTCTCACTCTCCGTATCTTTGTCTCTCTCTGTCGTCTCTGTGCCCCTCTCTGCCCACTGCCCATCCTCTTCTCTCGCAGGGGTCCCGCATCCTGCAGGAGCAGGCCCGCCTCGTGTGGGTGGAGCGAGGCAGCAGCAGGGGCTGCAGCAGCAGCAGCAGTGAGGCCTGAGGACCCCTTCGGGGCGGCGACTTCCTCGGGCACTCACACGCCCCCAGGAGACCCTGGTGTCTGTGGGGAGCTGAGCCTGCGACATCCTCCGTGTCCTGAGCCCTCCCAGGCCCTCGGGCTCCGCTCCGGGCTGTCACCGAGGGATCCTGCCGGAGCCGGAGCCGGAGCCGGAGCGGGAGCCCTCCGACAGCTTCCACCCTCCGGCCCGTACCTGCCACTCAGGGCCTTCCTGTGAGCCCTCCGGTCTCCGCATCCCCACTCGTGGGTCTGTGTCCCTCCGTCACTGCCCACCCGAGCGTCTGGGTTCTCACTACTGTGTACTGTTGGGTACACCCAAGTTCTCACGGGCAGGCTCTGGTCTCTGCCTGCCCCCGGGCACTCGAGGTCTCCCAGGCTCTCAGCCAGTTCTGCTCACAGGAGCCCCGAGCCCACCCTTTGTGACCCCGCCCCCTATCAGTCACATTTCTGTGTGTAGCTCCACACGTGGGCATTGTAGCTGCCCCGGTCCACTGTCACCTGTGCCCGCGTCTCGTGTCTTCAGGTCACACATGTGTCCGTGGTTCTCTCTCCTGTGTAAATGTCATGTCCCTCACCCTGTGACACTCGGGCACTTAACACGCGTGTGTTCCCGGTGAGCACACCCAGGACCGTGTTCTCACAGCACCTCCTCCCTGCCCTGCCGCCTCCCAGAGGGACAGGTGGGGAGGGTCCGGCTGCTCCGGCACCAGAATGTACGGCTCGTTGGAATGGGCCCTTTTCACTCAGAAGCTGCACGTTATGGAACATTAAACAGTTTGTCATAGAAGTTGGTGGCCTTTTGCTTGCTTGCATCCCTAGTGGGGGTGGGGGTTGGGGGGACACTTGTCCCCACCTCCAGCTCAGCTTGATACCACCTTTCAGGTTCCCTCTTGCCCTTGGGGAGGGTCAGGTTTCACTCCTGACTCATCCCCAGAGCCTCATCCCCAGAGCCGCCCGCCATCTGTGCTGGCATCACCTTACCCGCCCCTGAATGACCGGAGAAGGGCTCCACAGATGGGCCACCCCCACAGTGAGCCCTTCTTGTGTCTGATCATCAAAGGAGTGTCCCCTCGGGCAGGGACACTGAAGCCAGCGGAGCGTGGTCTTGGGTTTAAGGGCCTGGCTGCGGAGTCCAGGAGACCAAGAGCAAGCCTTCAGTGTGCAGTCGGGTCCCTGAGACCTCCTCCAGAGAGCGATCAGTCACCTTCGCTGGGAGAAATCCCGGCAGGCCTGCTGGAGGAGGTGCCACTTGAGTTTGCGGTGACTCCTTTCTTCAAGAAGCATTTATTGGACTTGTATACCTATGTGCTGTCCTAGGTACTCCTGTGACTGTGTTCTCTGTAACGGTAATGAACTTGGGCTGGCCCCTGGGGGATTTTGGGCGCGTGGGTTACTAGGTGGAGAAAACCTCAAGAACAAAGGCTCAGAGGCAGAAAATGGGTTGAGTTTGGCCGCTGGGGAGCGGTAGGAAATGAGGCTGGGGTGTTCAGGGACGGGGGCTGCCTAACTCTTAGTGTCCTCTGAGGTCTGGCCCAGACACCGTCTCCATGAAGCCTGCTAGATTCTCTCAGCCTTGGGGCTTCTCCTTGGCCGTGCCCTGCCCTGCCTTGTGGCAGGAAGGCGGGCCTCTGTGGGTGGCTGTGGGCTCCTTGGGGGAGGAAACTGGGTCGTTCTCATTCGGGTAAATGAACCTCTCCTCTTGCTGTGTGCCTCGTCCTTGGTCTAAGGACCCATGAGTCTGGGTGAAGAGGTGGGAACCTGGGAGCTCAGCTGCCTTTGCCTGGTCCCACGTTAGGGGACCTTCCACGGGGTGAAGGAGTCCACGAATCCTTTACTTTTTACGAAGTCTTACGTTGTCCTCGGTTCATAAATGATGAAAGTGAAGCTCAGAGAGGTGAAGTCACCTGCCCGGAGTCACACAGCCAGGATTTGAACCCTGGTCTGTGTGGCAGGAAGCCTGGTGATGCTGTTCTGGGAAGATGAGCTGTGAAGGGGCCTGGCATGGGGCCAGCCCTTAGTAGGGTGATTCAAAAGGGCTGGGCTCAGCCCGGCTGGTGTGGCTCAGTGGTTGAGTGTCAACCTGTGAACCAGGAGGTCACGGTTCAATTCCTGGCCCCAGCTCTCTCTCCCCTCCTGGTCCCTGATGCCTGCCAGACTTTTGCTTTTGCAGGGTGGGTCCCTGCCTCACTCCCTTCCTTCCTTCAGGTCTTTACTTAAGTGGTAAATGTCACCTTCGCCCTGAGGCCTTCCAAGACCACTTTATTTAAGTTGTGATTCTGTCCTGGCTGATGTGGCTCTGTTGGTTGAGTGTCCTCTCTATGCACCGGAAGGTCAGGTTGCTGTTCTATTTCCAGTCAGGGCACATGCCCAGGTTGTGGGTTCAGTGCCCAGTCGGGGTGCAGGCAGGAGGCAGCCAATCAATGTTTCTCACATCCATGTTTCCCTCTCTCCCTCTCCCTTCCTTTCTAAAATTCAATGAAAACATATTAAAAAAATAAATAATAAATCCCAACCCCTTCTCTCCAGCTGCTTCCCAGGCCCCTTGTCTACTATGTTCTCTCCACAGCAGAGGAAGGGAGGAGAGAAACAGCAATGGTAAGAGAGAATCATTGATTGGCTGCCTCCTGCACGCCCTGCCTACTGGGGGTGGAGCCTGCAACCTGGGCATATGGCCTGACCGAGAATCAAACCGTGACCTCCTGGTCCATAGGTCGACGCTCATCCACCGAGCCACACCGCCCGGGCCATTTTAGATTCTTCTGTGCCTTATGTGTTCAGTTCTAAACTGGGAGTAGCCATCCTAGTGCTGTTGTGAAGACCAAAGGGACGGAGCCAACCACTGTGGGAGCCCTGGAAGTTGGGAGGGCATCAAAGAAGGCTTCCTGGAGGAGGGAACGTGGGTGAGGATGCCGGGGATGGGGGAGAGCATCCAGGAGGAGGAACCTTGAGCAAAAGCTGGGAGGCCGGAGAGCAGGGCACCACAACACAATGGGTGTTGAATGAGCTCAGCGGGCGGTCTCTGGGGAGTGGGCAGGCCGGAGGCCCCTCCCTTCCACCCTGGCACGGAGGGTTTGTTGTTGCCCCCACCCCCACTGCAGCAGCTGGCAGGAACGGGGCTGTCCCTTCAGCTGCCTCTTTAGCTGCCACCTCTGGGGCTCCCAGGGGCCGGCCCCGCCCCTCGGGCTGCGCTGGGGGGAGAGGCGGGGCCAGGAGCCCCAGAGCGGGCGGGCTGCGGTGGGGAGGGTGGCCCGAGCAGGTGGAGGGCTGGCGGAGCAGAGGCAGAGGGGCTGCCCTGGCTCGGCCTCTGGGGCCCGAGCTCCAGCGCCCAGCTCTCCCCGCCTTGCTGGCCCCCGATGCCTGCCAGACTTTTGTCTTTGCCGGAGCCCCTCCCCGTCCAGTTGGGATTTGGGGGCCGAGCTGTCTGGGGTCCCGGGGCCAATGCAGTGCCGGCTCCTCCGGGGCCTGGCAGGAGCCCTCCTCACCCTCCTGTGCTTGGGGCTCCTCTCCCTTCGCTACCACGTGAGCCGGTCCCCGAAGAGCGTGCAGGGGACCCCCGGGCTGAGCCCACCGAGCCCGCCGCCCCCGGAGCTGCAGCTGCAGGACGTCTACATCGCTGTCAAGACGACCCGCGCCTTCCACCGCTCTCGCCTGGACCTGCTGCTGGACACGTGGGTCTCCAGGACCAGGGAACAGGTGACATGCTGGTGACCGTGGGCCCCTGGCCTGCGGGACTCTAAGGCTTTTCTATGGGTTGGGGTCCCTGGCAGCCTTGGGGAGGAGCGGCTCCCCCACCTGCCCACTCCCCCTTCTTCCCAGGATCCGGGGGCTCCTGCGGTCCTGGCTGTGCCCTCCCTGGCTCTGGGGTACGTTACCCCTCTGGCCCCCTGCTCCGTCTCTTTTAGGGGCCAGGCTGGGCTCATGCCCCAGGCTTCTGGGTCCCCCCTGGGATCCTCTATTCCCTGGGCTGTGCAGGTGCCCGCTTCACTCCTGCCCAGCCTGGCCCAGCCTGGCACTGGGGGCAGGGGTGGGTGTTGGGCAGCGGGGGCAGAGGCCTTGAAAGGGTCCTGGCTGACATGAGCCTGGCCAGGCTGCCCCAGTGCAGGCCCTGGTGCTGTGAGAATGGGGGAGCTCCTGAGGAGGGGACCATCTGGTGGGGCCTGTTGGGAGAGGGCGGAATGGGAGGCATCCTCTCAAAATTCCCAGCAGCCCCTGCACCCACGACTCTGGTGCCCAGGGTGTGCCAGGGGAGCGCCCTGACCCCCTGGCTCTTTTCCTGTGGGGCAGTTTCCGAGGGAGGGAGGAGGGGGGCATGCTGTGACTGTGGAGGCTGAGGCAGAGGTCGGGGTAGGGCTGGCCCAGCATGTGGGATTGTGTGTGCGTGTGTGTGCATGCGTGCGCATGTGTGTGCACTGACACGTGTGGAGCCAGTGTCAGTGTTAGTAGACATGCTGACAAGACGCATGTGGGTGACTTCTGTTTCCCCCGAGGCGGCTCTCCAAGCTGAGTCCCTCCTGGTTCTTCCCTTTCCCTCAGCCATCGCCCTCCTCAAGCGAAGTCAGTGGTTTGGGTGTTGGGAACCATCTCTGGGGAAGGTGAGGGGGGCAGATTTACACACGCATGCACACACACACACACACACACACACATGTGCTGTCTCCATTTTGGCGGTGGCTCAGGGAAGGAAGTGACTGAGCCTTCAGAGGGGCGTGGGGACTCCTGGGGACCGAGGATGGGGGCAGGTGATGCCTGGAAGAGGCCGGGGCCCCCTGCGGAGAGGATCCCCCCCATCCCAAGTTCCTGGCCCTGATGTCCTAGATCCTTGGATTGACACTTCCCCACGGGGCCCCCAGCACCCCAGGCTCTTCCCTGCTCACCGCGCCCCCCCCCGCCCCCCTGACACACAGCTTCTCGTCTGGGGGAAGTTCTGGTTCTACTGGCGGAAGTCGCAGAGCCTGGCCTCCCCGCAGACCTTCCTGTTTATGGCGTTGAGTCTGTGTGTGCCCGGGAGTGTGGCTCACGTGGTCTGAGGCCCTTCCTGAATTGTCTGGATCACCATGGGGGTGCCCTTGCCCCGGATGAGGAAACTGAGGCCCAAGGGGAGGAAGCACTAACCTGTGTGTCACCCTGAAGCCCAGTGGGACCAGCTCCCACCTCTTGGCCAGGGTCCTGTCTTCCCTGCCCAGACCCGGGATCCAGCTGCCTGGTCACTGGGCTGCAGGAAAGGGTCCTGGGCCTCCAGCCCGGGCGGCTGGGTCTGGCAGGACTGGGCCGGGAGAGGAGAGACAAACAGCCAACCCCTCTGTGTCCCCAGTTCAATCCCAGATGCCACCCCAGCAGCCGGGGGAAGAACCCGCTCAGCCTCCAAGGGGCCTCGAGTCAGAGCCATCACTCAGTCTAACCCTCCCAACGACCCCACGTGGTAGCCATTATGGGATCCCCACAATGTGCCACCCTGGCAGGGAGAGGGTTTCGAGCTGAAACATACTCAGGAAGAGGCTCAGACCCGCCTTTCGTGCCTAAGGAGACGGGGAGAGAAAAGCTGGCCGGGGCAGGAGCCTTAGCACAGCCACCTCGGTGCGTGGAGAGCTCTTCCCAGATTCCCCTCGTGTCCATCATCGCTGGTGGCCCTGCAGGGACCTGTTTAGCAAACGTTTGCTCCTCTCATCTAACTCTGAACTGCCTGCCTCCCGCTCTCAGCCCAGAAGCCTCCCTATTTGGGGAATTTCATGCCTCTGTGAATTCCCGGTGTGCAGGTATCAACATCTGATTTTCTCCGGTTAACGTGCTGTTTGAACGATTGGACCGGCCAGAACTAACGGGGTAGGAGGAGAGTGTCCCTGGCTACACTCTGCATATTCCCATTGCACAGGCGAGGAAACCGAGCCCAGTTAACGGGGGTGGGAGACGGACTCACTCAGCCTGATCCCGCCCTCGCCCCGAGTGCAGGGGGCGGAGCCCCGAATTTTGTCTTTCAGGGCAGAGGTGAAAAAAGGAAGGAGCTCAAACGGAGGAAGAGGAGGGGGTGGGGCAGGGAGACCCACTTTCGCTGCCTCTCTAGCCCGTGGCTCCTCTCTCGCTGTGACCTTGGCAAAGCCCTCCCGCTTCCAGCCCTCAGTCTCCCCATCTGCACAGGACGGGAGGGTTTTGGCAGCTCTCGCAGCTCTGCCATCAGGAACTGGCCCGAGCTGGTTAACTCCAGGGCTGGGCGCCCACCCCAGCTGGTTAAGGGCGGCCAGGCGGCAGGTGGGCTTTTGTGGCAGCGGCTGGGGCTCGTGCGGCCTTTGTCCCAGGCAGCAGGGGTGGGCTGGGGGAGGCGTGTTCTGTGACCCCAGAGGAGCCTTTC